ATCATCGTACTAGCTAAACGGTTATATGTAACAAAAAAGGAAAAGCTTAAAATCAGCGTATTTGAATTTTATGCCTGATTTCATATTAAATGAATGATAGTAAAGTTAACAATGAATGTACATATTTCGTATACCGACATACAACTCTAAATGAATGCATCAGTGCATAAGATTTGAGTAAAAAAACCATTTGTTAGGTTTAATAAAAGTTTAATTCCTCCACAATTTTTACGAATAAATTTCCAATATACTGAACATTTTTAATGTTAATAAAAATCATCTGGAAATAGAAAGTAACTTTAGCAATATTTTTGACACTACATTTTTACAAAGTTAGTTGAAAATATTATGATACAATACACATTTCACTTAGTTGTAGTGCGAACGGGACAATAAGTATAACTGTACAATTGGTGGTGTATTTATAAATAACCTAATTAACAGACTATCTCCAGTAAAATTAACATGTCAGATGACTGAACTAATTGGCATTAACTTCTACAGTAAAGCATAGTAATATATACATTACTGTTTACACCTCCGTGAATGTTTACATGGGGTTGAATACGCATAAATGATACTCCAGCCGATTCTAAAATTCATAGCTTTTGCAAAACGACTGAAACAAATACTTTCTAACATAGTAGCATGTTAATGAACGAAAGCAGTTTCTGTAGCTGTCCTAAGTACAGGTATTCTTCATGTCACCGAGAACAATGGTAATTCTAACTATTAATTTTATTGTGTAAATCTAATGAACGTTTCCCTTTAGTTTTATACAAAGGAAATTTCCACAAAGATGACACTTATCAGTCTGTTTTTTTACATAAGTAGAAACAGTGAATAATTAATTTTTTCCCCCAGTATCTCTTTGTGTGTTAATTAGAAGTCATAGACAAAGTAAAACGATTGCCCCTGATAGTATGATCTGGAGAATGCGGTAGAGAATTTCACATATCCAAGTAAATTCATGAGTTAGGATATTTTTTCTATACATGATGAATTATTTATGAGCGAATATTTAATTCAAAACAAGAAAGTATTTATTACAGTCATTAAAAACTAATTGTGACTGGTGAATACGACTTTTGAATCACACATGAATAATGTCTAATGTAGTAGATCTGCTTTGTATCACCGTTAAACAATGAATGTTTCGCTAGAAACAAAATCATTCTCGTAAATAAATAATCAAGTATAAAGTAACTGCTAACACAAATTAGACCTATTAAAACAACTTTGCAAAATAGCAATTGTTTCGTTTTTCATAGGGTTTAATGGGCATCCAACTATTCATGTCTTAAATAAAATTTTAATAATTAATTCTAATCAAATAAAAAAATTCCTTAGTTAGCATTCCTAGTTATGTAAGACAGTAAAGCTTAGTTTTAATCATTTTAGTCAATCGAAACGGGTATACATATAAACATGACTTGTTGTGTTATTATTTAAATAGGTGTTTATAAAAATTTGAATGATTGAAGATAAAAGGATCTCAAACTGTCACCAACTTCATTTAGTTCTTCGTTGACAACCCACATCCAAGCATCTATATGCAAGGTTGTAACCTGTATAATCATCGGTAACTACAACCGATTATCATCCAAACCTACAACTTAAGTATATTTGGAAGGCATGTGCCGGTGTATTCTGACTCAATAGATAGATAGTGTCATGTTTGCTACAAAATCTGACAGTTCTTAGTGTTCATCTTGACAAAAGTATGGATTCTGAATGTTTTACATACTAAAATGAGCTAACTGTCTAGTAGTTATCTACACTCTGGCCGATTCCATCATTTCACGTGCTACTATGTTTAACCTTATTATATGATCAGATTATCTTTAGTAGTTACCAATAACGAAATTAAAGAGATGCATTGGCATTTGTGATTACAAGTTGTAGGTGAATATGATTATAGTTCGGTGGCCCTCTTCAACTTTGAGGAAATATTACATAACTCTGTGTTACAAAGAATTTATTTTACATTTTTATTGAAATAAACTTACGTAGAGTTCATCAATTCAAAAATGTAATCAATTATCTTAAGCTTTATTCATTCATCAACATAATTTTTTTTTCATGACTTAAAGATTATTGTTTTTGAAGTCAATTTTAAACAAATAAAGCATTAATCCTGTTGATCCTTTGATAATAAACATTAAAAAAATCATCAAACAATAAACTAACTTATAGATCATTAGAATATAATTCATACATAAATGAATGGATATAACAGAAATAATTTGGGCAAGATCGGTGCAAAAATAAAACACACAATTAGAAGCTAAAAAACTTAACATCATTTATCAATGAAACATATACAGTAACAGTAGTTAATCTTAATTCATTAGGGAATACAACAAGTTTTCTTTTTGAATAACAATCGAACTTCGAAAGTACACATAAGTTCGTCAGTTTACTTATTTTTTGTTGACTTATAATAAAAATCAATAATCATAGGAAACTGATGATAATGATAGCAGATATGATTTAAAGTTGTAATCACACTGAACAAACTGTATGTTATGTTCATCATCAAATCAATTAGATACTTTAAACTTGTATCGACCGAAAAACTGTCTTTAAAAGTATAAATGAAAACATTATCGTCAAGATATATAAGAACAATCGGTTATTAGAACACTTTGAGTTTTCTAAAGCTTTGTTGAAACATTCGATATGACTTTGATAATATACGAATCGACGAAAAAAAAAACTTGAGTGTAAAGTTGAGTTACCGAATCCTCTAATATCAGAAATAATCGGAAGCGTTTGATGTAAGCAGTCATAAATTTCAGTTCACGTGTTCATTGAAAGAACCACTACAACAATAACTTCAGTATCATATCATTAGCACTGTTTGTTTATTTATTTATTTGACTTCCTGAAGCTTGTAAAAAAAATTTTCTTGCAACAGCGAAATCAAATATAAAAATTCAATTAATCAATATAGAAAGTTCAAGCTTAATAAGGTTGTGTTGAATTTCAAAAGTCATCACATCCTACTGTTCGGTGATAAGTAACATAAAAAATTAATTTGAAAAAAAACATCGGAAAGTGAAAAATCTAATTTTCCACATTTATATTACATAGAATTTGATCAATAGTCCTATTGGAATTACACTATAGAAATCGGTGAATTTCTAGTTTTTTAACTAGAAACTGAATCGTTTTAAACGAGTAACATGTGATATTGAACAAATGAAAATACGGCATGGTGCAATGATTATTCACAGTTTGTTAAGTTACAACTACAACAATGACAAACGAAATATGAAATGAGCTTATTCTTCAAGAATAAATATTATTAATACAAGAAAATGAAACAGGCCATAAATATCAGTAAATCTTGTCAAATTATACAGTTATGTGTTTCCCATCATTTCTATGACAAAACAGTAGCTGCAGTTGAAGAAGTAACCAGCTACAACTCTGAATTCACTTATTATTCTGCATAAATAATTGTGAATAAGGTGACGAAAGTTTTTAAAGTGGTTTTCTTCTCTCAGGTTATAAACTACTAATGTCTTACTGATCAGTTTATTTAAACAGAGAATCAAGAATAATTGCAGTTCCAATTAAACTGACAATACGTTTATTTGCCTTACTATAAACCGAATGCTTCAGTATTATTATGGTGAGATGTAATATAGAAGTTTTTCATAATCAGCGTACAGATTTCTTTTCAATAACATTTTCGAAATAAATACGAACAAACTTTTGTCGAAAAAAAATTTGATAACAATGAGAAAAGAATAATTTTATTATTATTCGACAAAGTCAATAAGATGCGGAATTCCCTTCAGTGTAAAGAGTACTGAACCGATATAAACAAATATTATAAGTGATAAACCAATCAGTATGGTTAGTGATTAACAAAGCAAGTGTATGATAGTTTTCGCTGTCCATTTTTAAACATGGTGTAATTTGAGGTAATAAACTTATTCGATCTGTATAAAATACTGCTATTTCAGCTCCATAATTAGAGATAATTATTTGAACAACAAATAGTGTCAGATAGTTTGCGGATATATTAACATTTTGAAGTCTGTTATCAGCTTTTGTTTTGCTTAAAAAGAAACATAATTCTATAGATCACTCAGTCATTCATCAACAGTTTAAAGCCTGGCATATATTATTAACATACTTTAACAAGACGGAATGAAACTAACACTAAAATTTGGTTGATTAGTAAAAACTACTACTGTGAATGCTGAATCGTTTAAAACAAAAGCACATTTTTGCTTATTTATGATCAACTTACAACATTTATATTACCGATATGTAAACGATTAGTATGGTTTGAAGATAGATGGTGTCTAGAGTAATTGAAATTTTAGAATTCAATACTAAATATTCAGCATATAGATGAACTGATTACAATTTATATAAGTGCTTGAAAAGCAAATATCTGAAGTGTTTATCAATTTTACAAGTATTGAATTTTATAATGTGTTGTAATCATTCTACTGGTTTCTCTTCTATATATCTAAATGTCTCTTTATTTTATCTTGAGCTGATTTTACAACTGAAATATCACAAATTCCTTTTTTCAAAAATTAATAATTCTGAAATATTTTCAAATATTTTCATAATACTTGATATCTCTTGAGAACTCCCCAGTGAGACCAAAAGTTTAAAATGATTCAAGGTGGAACAGACCTTGTTATGAGTCAGTTGGACTTAATGTATCACACCACTTGAAGAAAATCTAGTAAGTGAAAAAATAATGTAGTACCATTAGAGGTTTAAAGTTACGTGTTTAAATTCATAATAAGTTACATGCATCTAGAGATAAATCCCCGAAAAGCAGTGCAGTTCTATCTGACTGATAGTAAATTTAGTTATTAAAAACCTAGAAATGGTAGGCTTTTGTCATATAAGATAACAAAACAAGTCGTTTTACAAAAAGTTATCAGCTTTTAATGAGAAGAATTACCATTACTTATGACATAAAATTAAAGTCAACACTATGAAAAAATAAAACGTTTACTCACTGGGAACAATTTTTCACTGTCAGTTGACATTGGTGTTTCCATCTTAACGAATTCTGCTGCACTACTATCCATTTTCGTCCAAACCAGTCAGCACATACAAGCAGTTTGATAAAAGCGCTTTCGCAAAGTATTATTCAAATCTTATTAAGTTGGCGATCAATAATCACGCCTATTACTTTTGTACACACAATGAATAATTATCTGTACTTAAATTTACATAACAAGCTCTAGAGCATGGGAACCTATCTGCCTGTGTTTGGTGTTGTGTCTCTCAATCTATCACTACTTCAAAAAAATAAATGGTAAATAAAACCTTTGGTACGGACAGCCAATCGAATCATTATAGAAGGTAGGGGGGTGGGTATGCAAAATATTGGTTAGTTAGGCTAATATAATTCCTGACTCAAAAAGTGTATTTCTTACTAAGCGCGTTTTGCACCTTAGTGTTTAAGCCTATACGTGTCTGTAATCTTAATTTTGGTTTGATTAACTTAACAGAGTAATGTATATCAGAAATCATTAAAACAGTATATTGACTTAATATCAGAATAGATTGTATATACACACAATACGTTTTGATTTTCTGTACTGTGGAAACGTATAGAAGTCGAAAATTTTGGGTGTAACATTACGGTTTGTTCAACCTGAGCTCGATATCATGCTAGTTTGTATAATCTATACAAAGCACCAAAGCGATGTCAACAATCTAGCAGCACTGCCTACATAATTGCTCAACATTATTAAGTTGGTCTTCATAATATATGTGAATGTCTGTTTGGTACATTGATATTTTAATATCTAACTGATATGCTGCAATATTAATAGCATATCAGTTGATTAATAACAGGCAAGAACTGAAAATTTCCAGAAAATATAAGGAATTTTCCTAGTCTAACCAATAAAACCAGTTTAAGACTTGGAGTTAAATGCTGTTCTACAATTATCATCCTTCACACATTTGATTTCATCTTATTATTTCTCTTCAATTCTCAATTATTAAACAAATTTCGTTGACACGTGATATGCTACAAATACTTTCCCCAATAGACTATTTTGTTTTTTAAGTTAATTATAAATACGATTTTATAGATTGATACTATGGATTGGTTTCGTTAATATTTACCATACCATACAATAACACATTTGAACTAGTTTTATCATGTGTGAGTTTTGGGAACTATACTGAATAATTTGAATTAAAATGAAATATTAGTCTTCAAAACTATAGGAAAAATATTTGTACAGAACTGTTTATGATTAATATCTTCTTCAATTTTCAAATAATCTGTGTCTTGATAAAAATAACGTTCATTCATTTTCTAAAAAATAGCGACTCATACTTTTTACGCAATAGATTGTCATTATTATATCAGTAAATAAACAGTAAAATGAACGACGTTTTAGGGAACTTACTGTAAATATTTGTTTTGTAAAATTTACACAATCATCAAAACTGTTCAACTGTCTTTCGGTTTTAAATAATGTATGACCAGAATTCGGGTCTAGAACTAGAATTTAATCCTATTCGTCAGTTGAAAAGATCAAACTCCAGGTGTTGATGTTCATAGTGAGAGTCAAACGTAGTATTTCTCACCTCTAATATCAATGTCTTATTCACTGACCGACTGAAACCCAGTAATAACTAACTCATTCAGTTGGTATGAATGTATTAGTAGAAGTTAATCAGTTGCATTCTTGAAGATTAACATGGTGAAATTAAAATCCCATACTAATATTTGAATGATTAAATATTATTAATACTGTTGGTAAATTTAAGGCTACACTCTGCTCATTTTTTACCATGGATTTTCTCAAATAATTTTCTATTGTGCTTGTTATTGAACAAACTTTTCATGACCAGAATATTGTATGTTATTCATTAAATCAAGAGGTAAGATAATGTTAATGATTTACGTTTAGTAGATTTTATTTGATAATGTACTAAGTTTGTTTTAGTTCTCAAGGTGTAAAATGTCTACCAAAAAGTGCATTGCCATTTCAACTGGACTTCAACTTGTTGTGTTGACTTATTTCAGAACTACAAGTTTTACCAATGATACTTGATTACAGTAAAAACTTCACAGCACAATATATGAAATATATAATCTGTGAATTATTTAAAAGGTATATATAAATATCTACTTATAATGATCGTTAACTGAGAATAGTATGGATCCTCAATTTACTTATTTTTTCCTGTTGGCAATCTTAACCTGAACCTGTTAAGCTAGATACTGCCGAACTATTTAGTTAGATATGATTAAAAAAACTGTCGGATCAAAACTGAGGTTCAGACTGAGGAATAGCTGTCTAGATAGTTTAGATACGCATCTTGATCAGTTGAAATCGAAACAAGTGATTTGGGTAAATATTGGTTCTAATATTCATCATAAATATATATTTACATCATTACCTAACCAATATTGCCACTCAGCTATTCCACCAAACATTGTCCAATTATTCAAATTAACAGGAAATAATAAATGATCTTCTATCCTTCCTGGATAGATCAGATTAGTTCGACAGATAATATTTGGTTGCTTCATAACACGTTGTTGCCAATTCTGGAGGAGTGGTTCCATTCACGATCAAAATGCACAATTCCAGTATAAACAAGCAATCCAATCAAAACAGGAACAAATCAATATGGCTGTCGTCATGACTAAGTATCAGCTTAAACAACATAATGCAGTTCAGAAAGAAACATAGAAACTCAGTAAAGGCAGAAGATATAGAAACTATAATAAAATATAAATATTACCATCTCAAATAGAATCGAACAGATTAACAAAATGAACAACTGAAAGAATTAATAAGGACAAATTACAATTGTATACATAGAGGGATTTTCACAAACAATGCCTTCAAAAATGGATTTTACAAAAACAATGATTATTTTAAAATAAATTCTTTTTATTAACATGTTGTTTCAGTATAACAGTTGTATGATCAAGAATTATATCCACTGTAGGATGTTACTAAACGTTCTATATGAAAACATGTAAATAATGTATGTCGTTATTTATACTTGATACCCAACTTAAAAGAGGAAAAAACAGCTTAAGTTCTAAAGAAGAGCAAGTTGAGTGTGTTGGGGATGTTAGATCCCCAAAATTTGCTTGATAATGCCGTATTTTGGTTTTCACGTTTCGCCAGCATGGGCTGATCAGATGACCTTGAGATTTCAATTCCCACCAGGAAAATCCGTGGCTGTGATTGGCTGCAGTGTATTTTAGTATGCTATTTTCTTAACTGTCTCAAGGACGTTCCTATGTTGTATAAATAACCGAGAGTTGTATGCTTGATTGTACTGTGATTGCTGGGTGTTTGTAGAATATACTTTCTACGCTTACAAAGCCTTCTACTCGATTTTGGGTATTCAAGGTAGCCTCCCTGGAAGCTGGTAAAAGTCTCGTTCACGTTTATCGACTAAGGTAAACTCGTAATAGCCTCAAGCATACTAAGTGACGAACTTATCAGAGTGTCTTGTAAGCCAAGCGTTAAATGGCTACCAATTGAATTTTCTGTATAAATAGATGAAATTTATCTGACTAGTTAACATATAAATTAATTTCATACTCTACGAAACAAATTATAAACTGAATTTGCAAGCGGTTCTGTTTCATAAACCATCCAGTTCACCATGAGGATAGCCTAAACTTGGAATCCTCGAGACCGAAGGAACAGAGGTAAACAAACGAACACATTATACCGCGAATTGGAGACAGACATGAAAATAATGAGTGGCAATTAAGAAAAACCGGAAAGGAGAGCTCAGGACAGAGTTAAGTGGAGAAGGCTGGTCGGTGGCCTATTCTCCATAAGGGTTTAGTCAGTCACTCAGTTACAACGTAAAACTTCGTACATGAGTACATAAGCTCAGGGTGCCATACCCCGTCAGCACACAGACATAACTATCAGTTAAAATCTCATGGTGGTAGAGATAGTAGAAGTATCAGCAGTAATGGAGAAGGTTAGGGTTCGAAGATATGATTCAAGTATAATTCAGTGAGATAACTTTAGAAAAAGAAAAATGGGGACGATGAGGGATTCAGAAGATTAGAATTTGAGAGAACACAAAGAATGGATTCACCTGCGCTATTACAAACGATTTTGAGCCATGTCATTCAAGGTCTCTAACCATCGTTGACCTTTGTCTCGCGGACCCCAACTCGGTAGTTGACACTTGCCAACATGACTCAGTCCACTTACTAGTGACTTTATGGATTTGTGCCATGTTTTGGTTTGGTCGCCCCTAGCTTTCTTCCAACCTAGCCCTACACCGCGAAACATAACTCGACAAGTCAGTCGGTGATTAGACATTCGTAACACATGTCCCTACCACCTCAACTGATAAGGTTTTACTACTTCATCTGTTGGCCTTACATACTTGCCCAGTACAAGTTTGTTAACAACAGATTTGCTAACTCGATAGTCCAAAGATAAACGAGCAATGCTTAGAAGACACCTATGATCGAAAACCAGTAACCTACAAATTTCCTCTTCTATTCTGACTGGCCATTTTGAAAGTGTCTTCATCAAGTAGAATTTTGCCATCAGAATATTCTAAATCAACAAGCGTGGCTCCTGGAAAAAGGTCTGCTTCTGAATAGTTAGACGATGATATTGTTAACTCTAAAAACATATCTACGACAAAGTTAGACAAGAATTTGGAGAGTGAACATCCCTGATGGACACCACTTGAAGTAACTAATTCTGATTACAGTTCTCCATAAGCTCTCACTCGACCTGTAGTGTTCGAGTAGAGAGCTTGGTTAAGGTTAATGTACTTCTTTGGTACACCTTTCAGTGACAGACACTGCCAAACAATCTCACGGTTGGCAGAGTCGAATGCCGCTTTAAGGTCTAGATGTACTACTACTAAGGGGCGTCTGAAAGTGTGTCTTTGTTCTAAGGGCTAACAGGCGAAAGTATTCAAGTGAGGTTGCTTCATGTATGTTAATGATATGATTAGTGTTAACAAGAAGATAAATATCAACAGTGTTAAGTACTCTGTTTAGTTAATGAGTTGCACATTTCCGTCTCTAGTTTTATGCAACTTATGATCAAGTTACAATTAGTCACCTTTTAATGAGCTTTAATACAAATGTTCTTTTATTGAAGTAGATCACAAGTGATTGCAGTAAATACCACTATCATGTTTTTATATGAATGAAAATACATTGATTATAGCAATTAAAAAATTTCATTTAATGTATAATATTTATAGATTTAGATT